TCACTGGCCCTTGTTCTTCCTAGAGCTGGATTTACCATTAGGCAGAGTAGTGCCTACAGATGCCGTCCATAGAGGGAAGCTATGCAGGTGCCTACTCTGCCATGATTCCTGGTGTTGTGTCAAGATACAACACTGGCAATAGCTAGGAGGGTGAATCCTGGACAAAATGCACCCTCCTGCTCCAAGACCAGTGGCGCCTACAGGAACCGACGGGTTCCCCAAACGCAGGGGAAGGCCCCCGGCACTGCATAAGGCTGCCCTGTAAAACAACTGTCTAATGTGGGCAGGCGTTTAGGGCAGCCTTACGCAACACCAGGGTCCTTGCCTGCATATGTGAAAGCCCGCAGGTCCCGCAGCAGGTAAGGACGCCAACTCAGGCTAAAATGATTTCCATTCGTGCCCACAGGTTCCCGAAATGGAAATCCAGCCCTGTCTCTTCCTGTGTGTTGGTACTTACATGGAATGAGCTCAAGTTCCGACCAAACCAGGTCCGAACCTCTGAACAGGGAAGGAGCTTCTCCGGACAGGGAAGGAAGCTCCTTTCGTTGCTGCCCAACCAGCTCCCACAGCTGCACTTAAGCAAAGGCGCGGGATGAGAGTGAAGGCAGCCAAGTATAACCGAGCCGAAGTGAGGTGATCCAAACGCTGTTTGGCTATTCACTTCAGCCCTGTACGGCTGATTTCTGATTATATGTTCAGCTGAGCTGAAGTGAAGAAGAGCCAGCTGTGCCCGCCCCCTCCCCTGTCCATTCCGCCAGTCAGCGCTGGAGGATCGGAGCGGGGAGGGGTGAATGCCTGCAGGGAGCCGTGACTGACCGAGAAGTGAGCGAGCGACGGTATGTGTTCGCTCACTTCCCGATCTATTGAGCCGACGTGTGACAGTTCCGTTGTCACACGTCGGCTTGAACTATGAGGCTGAGTGATTTTCACTCACCTCATAGTTCTCCTTTAAGGTCTGCTTTAAGATATTTGATCTGAGACCTAGCGATGACGCTATTTCCTAGCGATTAAAAAATAAAATGCTGCAGCATGCAGAGGTGCCGCAGCGCCAATGTGAGGCCAGGCCCAGCAGGCCTCTCTCTCTAGGGCTCCTCCAGCAATTTCAAGGTGAATTCCGTCAGCATCCAGAACAGAAGTGTATCAGCCTTGTTTGAGAGCCCCGCGGTGATGGTCTAAATTAAAACGAAGATAATTTTCTTGAGAGAGAATGAAAGAGAGAGAGAGAGAGAGAGAGCGGAGAAAAAAGTCCCCCCCCCCCCTTTCCCGTATACTTGTTCATTTCATATTTGTCGCCAGTTTGTTTGCTAATTTTCATTTGCAAGCGTCACGTCTCCCAGCGAACCGGGCGCCTCAATGGGCTGCTGATTTCTCTGAAATGACAGGCTGTAAATATGCATAAAAAAAGCCTTGCAATTAGCGAGTGTGTGGTTGGGCTATGCCTGATTTCATTGGCAAGTTTACCCACTGCGTTGATAAGCTACATTATCTAGAAAATTGGCCGGTGAAAAACAGCACCTCTGATTGCCAGGAAAAGTTTCAGATAACAGGGTGCTGAAGGGAATTATAATTGAGGTTGAATATGTTAACCGGGGTGTCACAAGCTCCTTAGAAGCGTTAATTCATCAGCATGTTAGAATTTTTATTAACATTTGGAGAGCGTCCTTGCCACGCTAATGAGCTACAATTGGCAGTTCGGATTTTAGTTACTGTCATCTATAAGGAAGTTAAATATAATTCCTTTGGCAGCGGCAATAATAAAATGCATTTGTTCTGGGGCTACGTATCAAAAAAAAAATTACGCATCACATACAACAAACAAAAAAAATTAAAAAATAAATGTGAAACGAGAGCTCCTTAATAAAATGGTATGCTAATGCTGTTTGTACATTTTAATGGGGAAATCATTGTTTTAATCGAGGTTGTCGAGGCTGCAGGGGTTGCTGGCTTGATGATGTGATGTGAATTTCCTATGGGTCTTCGGAGGCTCGTGTTTGATTATATCCTAACGGCTGCAGGGCAAGGGCACAGCCGTGTTTCTCTGGTCAGTGGGCAAATGACTTGTACACGGTTTGACTTGGACGCCCTGCCCTTCGTGGAAGGCTTGGATGGAAACCTGAAAAACGCAACAGCATTTTTTTTCTCAAGGGAATTAATAATGTTTATACATTGTTTACGAGTATACGTGAAAACATCACGCCAATGTTAGTGTTTTACAAAATGTTTTGTATGTAGAGATTTTAAAGGGCAGTTGTAATTTTTTTTGTTAGTTTTTTTTTACTTAAATTTTAAAATTGAACTTAATTGCAAACATTTTTTTTTTTAAATATTGCGAGCAGGCAGGCTCTTTATTCCAGCAATGTCTCTTCTGCAATAAAACAAATTCACCTGCCTGTTTGCAATCTCCTTTAGAAGGTACACTGAGCTGCATCTGCCAGTTCCTGAATGAATAAACCGATGCGCACGTGTGCTGGCATTACGTCATTCTGGCCTGACTGAACACCCCAAATCTGGAAGAGCACCACGTGAAGATGTCAGCACCAGCAAGGGAGCGAGGGGAGTTGAGTTTAGGTCCACTTTAAGTTTTAAAGCATGCTGAGCTAAGCACAGAAAAAATGCACGCTCAATGCAGCAGTAATCTAAGCCCAGGATTGTGATGACGTCCGAAAGTTGGGCCCATGACAGTCTGGGCTAAGAGATTCTGTGATAATACCATCCACAGGGGGAAGGTCTGTGACCACCTGGGCTCCGAGGTTGTATGATGGCACTTTCCCCAGGGGGCAAGTCCATGACATCCTGGGCTCAGTGGTTTTGTGATGTGCCTCCCCCAGGGGGCTAACCCATGAAAAACTGGGCTCAGTGGTTTTGTGATGGTACTGCCCTCAAGGGGCAGGTCCATGACAACCTTGGCTTAGTGGTTGTGTGATAGTATCACCCCCAAGGGGCAGGTCCAAGACAACCCGGGCTCAGAGTTTGCGTAATGGTACCGGCTCCAGGGTGCAGGTCTATTACCTAAGTGCGCTGGATGACATTGGCTATAATGCATCCCTGAGAATGAGAACATCTAGTGGCAGAAATATATTACTGCAGGGGGACTTTTGCCAGATTGAAGCATTGTTTGTTTTTAGCTTTGCTGGGTGTCTTTTTTTCCCACTTTGTTGAGCAGAACTTTTACCCTGTTAAATTATATATAGATAGTCACTAGTTTACATGACCAGCGTGACCAATCAATTAATTATATAAGAAACAAGCAGTAGAACCAGAGGTGTAGTGAGTTGCGTGGACTGCATGAGCTGCACGGAGAGCAGCACAGATATTGCAATATTGGAAGGGATCACTTTGCTAGGTAAGTGTGCCATAGGGTGCATAGATGCTGTTCATACTTGCACATTGTTGCAAAAAGCTCCTAGGGACCCAATTTTGTTTTTATTGGAGGTTTAGTTCCACCTTAAGAAAGAACTCTAGTCTGAAAAAAAGCAGGGGATTGTTTTGTGTGGAATACTGCAAGCCTTGTTAACTATTTGTGCTTCTCTCTCTCTCTCTCTCTCTCTCTCTCTCTCTCTCTCTCTCTCTCTCTCTCTCTCCTGCAGGGGAATTGTAGACACTCCTCTCATCCATTCAGAAGCACTCAAGCCTCTTGTAACACGTTGGTTGGCTGACATCCCCGCTGGAAGACTGGCACAAGTGACAGATTTGCAGGCCGCCGTGGTGTATTTGGCATCTGAAGCTTCTGACTACATGACTGGCCACAATTTAGTCATTGATGGAGGCCAGAGCCTCTGGTAGAGAAATGGTACCACCAGAGAAAGACCATAAACATGGACATTGGGTAGTAGTATGGGCAGCTGGCTCAACGTACTCTGGAAGACATCTACCTGCCTAACACTCTCCATACAAATTCTAAACCGATAATTCCATGAAGTAGTCAATTATAATGAATTGTCGACTGAATTGATGTGTGTATAGCCAGCATTAGGATGGCCACAAATGAAAAACTGATTGCGCAATCTCTTACTAAAGATTTACTAAGAACTGTAGTGAAGCCCTCTCTATACAATCCATGCTGTTTATTAGGTTGTCTCTCACACTACCAGGTGGCTTGTAAGGGCCTGTTCACACCACAGCCTTGTGTTAAACATGTGAGATCACACACAATCCCACAGCGCATGGTACTGCACACTACATGCACTGTTGCATTGAGTTGCAATTCTTTTTGAATCCCGGCAGGTGTGCTGTACCACAACGACATGCACTGCTTTACCATGCAGTGATAAGAAGTAATGCATGAAGTACTTTTTATCATGGCAATGCACATTTTTGCAGTACTGCATGTTGCACGGTGCTGCCAGGCACACCTGTCTGGAGGTGCATTGTGGTGCCATTGAGAATGAATGTCAATGCAATGCACCAGCACACCTAGCATGTGGTACCCTGCACTAAATGCACAGACCCTGTGTGTTTAGCACAAGGCTTTGGAGTGGCCATAACTGTTGCTGATTTTAAAGCTGAACTCCAGGCTGATATAAAGGACATGAAACATTCACCATTCATTAATATATCATTATTATTATTTTTTTGCAAGCAATGAAAAAAACTGAATTTGAGCCGGTATGAGCCTCTTGCAACCCCCGAACAGTAGAGCTCAAACTGGGAGAGGGAGAAGCAGCACAAGGAGCCAATCAGTTGTGCTGCAGCACTCATGTCCTTACAAAAAACATGCTGATAGGAGGAGAGAGTAAAATGACAGAGAGATGAGCTCATCAGTTTGCTGTTTCTCATTTCACTGTCCTGTCAAAGGCTGGGGGAGGGACAAGACCTGAAAGTGTTACTTAATTGCAGTAGGATAAAATCTTGTCTCCTGGCCTGCCAGGTGGCTGCACTGTGTGGCAGAGCTGTGTAAATCTCAGAACTGGGTGGACAAATCCTTTGGCATATAAACCCTCCCATATATGTGCATTTAGCTGTTTGCCTGGAGTTCAGCTTTAAAGATCACATTTAAACAGATCCTGAGAGTGTATGGCAAGCCTAAAACCAACTGGACAGGGCAGATATATGGAAGTTGCCATTCATTACTGAATTTTGAAGGTGAGAAAGCAGTTCCGCTTATTCTCCCAGTGCCTTAGAACAAGCATGGAGAGGGAATGCCTGATTGGCACATCTTTTTCTGGGAGTACAACTTGCAGGAGAACCAAATCTAAGGATGGCAGCTCTGAAACATGTACTAAGACGGAGGTAGCTTAAAGTGTATGTCCACTTTTGCAGTCAAATTTAATGAAGACCCCTCTATATGTTTGGTATGTGTTCCCATTCACCCAGCATACTGAAATTATTAAAAAATATGTCTTACCTTTTTACATGTTTCTTTGGTGGAGGTCTTTGTGCACATACCAGGCTACTCTGAGCAGTTTGAAAGTGAACATAGAGGGACACTCAGAGCTTCTTCTCATTAACATACAATGCTTCTGAGTCTTTAACCCTTTGTTAGAACTGACAGGGTTAATTAGAGTAAACAGCCCCCTCATTAACCCCTTGATGACGCACAACGGGATAATTCCGTCATGGATCCTTAAGGGGTTGAACAAAACTGCCGGGACTCTGTTTAAATTTGTAGAGCCAGCGGCTGGCTTTACAGTAGAAGCGATTCTGATAACTCAGCTGTCGCCAAATCGCTTCTACGGTCCAGTAAAGTGGCCCCCCCCCCCCCCCTGGCCGGCACCCCAACCGTGTTTCCCTGGATCCGCTGCCCCTCCTGCGGGCACATCTTGGATGTCAGCAGGAAGCTGGAGAGGAGGGCGGTGAATGTCCGTTCACCAATCTCCTCCCCGCTCTATGGGACCGGGAGCGACATGTATTACATGACTTCCGGTCTCATAGCTGTCATTGCTGGACTCCTGAAGCCCACCAAGCGTCCCTATGTGATAGCAATTAACCTAATGTTAAAAAAAAAACAGTTTTAAAAATATTAAATAAAATAAATGTAAAAATAATAAAAAACATTTTTACTTTTCACGTACACACACGTCGGGTGCGCCTACGTATAAAGACAATGATTACGCTTTACATGTTGGATATCGCCACACACACCAGAGTGAGAGCAATAATTCTAGGGCCAATATTTATGCGTATCTCTCAACTGATGACCTGTGGGGGCTTTCAAAGGGCCGTCTATGGACGTTTTGGGGTACTGAATTTTGCTGCAGATTCACGGACGCACATAATTTTTAACCTGGGCATGTTGGGTATCTATTTACTCGTTGGAACCTCATCTTTTATATTTTACCAAGCAAAATGTTTTTGTACAGTGTTTTGGGGCATTAAATCTACCTCAAGTGCATTTTTCACAAAATGTTTGGGTTTGACATTATGTTGCGCTAATGTAGTGCAACAAAAAAATTTGCAGCTGCCACCATTTTATTCTACAGGGTCTTGGCTTTCAGAAAATATATAATGTGTGGGGGTTTTAAGTAATTCTCAGGCCCAAAATGTGGATTATAACATGTAAGCAAAGAATAGAAAAAAAAAGGCTGTTGTCCTTAAGGGGTTAACATCACACGGGGAGAAGCTAGGCAGGGTTTTAAGCAAGGAAAAGCACTTAAAAATATAAGCAGTTTTAAAAATATTTTTTAAGTTATGCGATGTGAATGGGAACATGTAACAAATATAAAGTCGGTGTTACCCCAATCTGGCTGCAAAAGTGGAAATACACTTTAAGGTGCACACTTAGCCCTCATTCACACGAGAAAAGAGCTCCGTGTTGTGTGCGTTGCCGTATCCGGAGCTCCTGGGAGGGACAGGTGCTGCGTGTGATTAGTACGCAGTCCTTGTCCTTCTCCATGGGAGTACGCGACTATACGCCGCCCTACACTCACCCGCCCTGCACGTCCGTGTCGGTGTGGGGGAGCGTACTCGTACACTGACAGGATGCCGGGACACCCGCACCCGTACGGACCTGCACTTGAGGTGAACGTAGGAGGGCGTACGGCCGCGTACTCCCATAGAGAAGGACGGGGGCTGTGTACTAATCACACGCAGCACCTGTCCTTCCCGAGAGCTGCCCGATACGGCTGTGCATGCAGCATGGAGCTGTACGTGCCGGAATTTTCTCGTGTGAATGAAGGCTTAAAGTGCACTACTCTAGGCAGGAACAAGGTTTGTCTGTGTGGTAATTTTTTTTTTTCTTTTTTCCTCCCAATGTGTTTTATAGTTCTCACGTGATCCTGCAGTGTTTACTTTTTATTTTCTAAGCAGAAAAGTAATTAAACTAGTACATCAATCTAAAAATAACAGTGAAAATGAATGTGCGCACTGCTACGATGTGTTTTTTTTTATTTTCTTAAGATTTCTGTCAATACTCATTATTAACATGACGATGGATTATTACAGTAACATTGCTAAAGTGAAATATTCTGAATGATATACAGCGAGAATTGGATTCTTGGAATGAATATCATTACCCAATCTCCGATAATAACTGCAAGACCCGGCCCTGCAAATGGCGCTCTGTTTATGTGCTGCAAACATTGCTACTTTGCGCGTAACACACATTTGCAGTAAATACAAGTGATAATAATGATTAAGAGTGACACGGAAATATTTCACACCACAAAAGGGATAATTATAGGATTTCAAAACTGACTGCTGGGAATACGTTATCTAGTTCGAGCAGAGCTGCCCTTTAAGCATGTATTGCAGTAGATGTAAACTCTAACTCTCTTTGCTAAAGCGCTGTGTATCATAATCATCACAATTGCCTTTTTTTTTCTTTTTAAATACTGTTATCACAGGTGCTGGTGGTGCATGTTACCGAGGGGGATGTTTGGGTGCTGGTGGTGTTACTGGCAAGGGAGGGTGGTCGCAGGCACATTACCTCTGACTCCGTCTCTTTCTGGCGTCCCACCCAGCTCCTGGCAAGCAGTGACATCTGTGAGCTGGGCAGGACGCCAGACAGAGACGAGATGCAATCTAGGACGCTCTGGCCAGGAATGGGGCCACCCCCACCCACACGTGACCCAAAGAGATGCCACCTGAGGCAACAGGCTCAGGCTGCCTCATTATGGCGACGGCCCTCTGTTCACCTTTCTTAATATTTGTTACATCTCAAAGCTGCTCATCTCTTCAGTGGCGTCACGAGGGGGGTGTGGCCCGCACACGGGTGACACCATTGGAGGGTCACCCCTCTGAAAAGTCAGGCACTCGGTCATGGACCGTGCGCCCAACAGTTTCGGGAGAGAGGAGGGGACCCGGCGGCATAACTTATCCTGCCGGGTGACTGTCCCCTCCTCTCTCTGCCGGCGACCAGATGCACTCCAGCAATGGCTTCATGACATTCCTCATGGAGGGCTTCATGATGATGACATTGGTGGACAATGGCTACGTAATATGAGTGTTGATTTGTAGTATCCATTGGAAGACCAGGTGACAAGGTGACAACTCAGAAGCACAACTGGGATGAAGGGAAAGAACATTGTCACCCTATAACAGGAAGCAATTGAACAGGGACCTTCATAGCAGGATCACGAAACAATTTTTGTAATGAAAGCTGCAGATTTAAACATATTGAAAACTATTTTTGAAATGAAATGAACCTGCTAAAGATTCTATGAGATTCTATGATTGGTTTTATATATGTTTTAAACCTAGTGATTAGTATTTGAAAACTTTGCTCAAAGGTGAGTTGGGTTGACTACAGTTCCCTGGTAAATTAAAGGATAAATGTGGCTGTGACTCTTTTGGGGGTTTGAAGATTTTTTAAATAGAAGGAACTGTGGCCACATACTTGGTGGATAATAAATGGTGGTTTAGGGCCAGCCAAGCAAAAGTGACCAAAGCCCTTAGAA